GATTTATTATATTGATACGCATTCTGAAACATTCTCACACTGCTACTAGGGAATAATAGTATGGCTTTCAAGATATTATTAAAAATTTCATTGCTAGTTTTCCATGGAAAAAATTCCCAGTATATCACTCTTTATAAAAATGTGGAATGGGCCAACATATGTTTGGCTAAACAAACAACTGAGAAAAAGCACTTTCTCAATAGTCAGGACCTCAGAGCATCTACAGATAATCCATGACTAACAACTTTAATGGAGCCTGCCCATCAGAGAGAACACCTATCCAACCTTGACGAATATAAATCACCGGGACCCGACAGACTACATCCCAGAGTTCTGAAGGAGCTGGCACATGTTTTCTCAGAACCATTGCACCATATCTTTCAAAAAATCCTGGTGCACTGGGGAAGTACCTGAGGATTGGAAAAGGGCTGATGTGGTTCCCATCTTCAAGAAAGGGGGAAAAACAGACCCAGGACACTAGAGACCAATCAGTTTAACATCAGTACCTGGGAAGATCCTGGAAAAAACAATCAAAAACACAGATTGCGAAGAACTAGAAGCAAACAAAGTTATAACTAGTAGCCAGCACGGGTTTGTTAAAAACAGATCATGCCAAACCAATCTTATTTTATTCTTTGATAAAGTGACTAAATTAGTAGACCAGAAAAATGCTGTGGACATATATGCTTAGATTTCAGCATTTGACAAAGTAGACTACAACCTGCTGCTTAGTAAGCTAGAAAAGGTGGGATAGACAACATCATCACCAGATGGATTTGTAGCTGTTTGACAAACCATATTCAATGAGTAGTCCTCAATGGTACTACATCCACATGGAGAGAAGTAAGCAGTGGGGTACCACAAAGCTCCATCTTAGGCCCAGTACTCTTCAATATCTTCATCAATGACTTAGATGAGAGATGGGGAACTCATCAGATTTGCAGATGACAATAAACTGGCAGGAATAGTCAACACCCCAGAAGACAAGCTCAGGATCCCAAACAATCTTGACAACCCCAAAAATGGGCCCTATCCAACAAAATGAATTTTAATATGGAGAAAAGCAAAGTTTTACATGTAGGCAGGAAAAATCAAAGTACAGATTAGGTGAGACCTGGCTCAAAAACAATAACTGTGAGAGGGACCTTGGAGTCCTAGTGGATGACCACTTGAATATGAGCCAGCAGTGTGCAGCAGCAGCCAAAAAAGCTAATACAATCCTAGTTTGTATAAACAGAGGCATATAATCAAGATTGTATGAAGTATTAGTACTGCTTTATAAAACCCTAGCCTAGTAAGACCACACCTGTAATACTGGAACCAATTTTGGTCACCATACTACAAAAAAGATTTTGACATTTTGGAAAAAATTCAAAGAGAAACTAAAATGATCAAAGGTCTGGAGACTAAAATATATGAAGAATGGCTGCAGGACTTGGGTTTGGCTAGTCTAAATAAAAGAAGAAACAGGGGCGACATGATAACAGCATTCCGGTATTTGAGGGGCTGCCACAAAGAAGAGGGGGTCATATTATTCTCCAAAGCACCAGAGGGCAGGACAAGAAACAATGGTTGGAAACTGACCAAAGAGAGAAGCAACCTGGAATTAAGGAGAGAGTTCCTAACAGTGAGGACAATTAACCAGTGGAACAGCTTCAGAAATCATGGGCGCTCCATCACTAGAGATTTTTAAGAAGAGACTGGACAGTCACTTCTGAAATGGTATAAGTTCTCCTGCTTGAGCAGGGGACTGGACTAGAAGACCTCCAAGGTCCCTTTCTATTCTATTCTATTCTATTCTATTCTATTCTATTCTATTCTATTCTATTCTATTCTATTATCGTTGTAAGATGTGACAGTTGTAAATAAGATCACTTTCAGTTCACTATGGATTTCTTTTGATGAAAACTGGAAGTAATTGCCACTTTTTGGCAAAACTGTTGTAAAACCAACCAGCTATAAATATGGGCTGCTTGCTGAGCACCTGACATGCTGTTATGTGATCTCGGGGGGGGGGGGG